GTTATTAATAAATGTCTGATTTTGTGGAATAAAGTGGGCGATATTATTTTGGTATGAAATGTCCGAATTTAAACGTTATGAATTTTATTTGGTATGGATAGTCGTGTATTTGAAAATTTTAAAAACAAAATAAGTGGTATGAATTTTATTTGGTATGAGTGTGAAAGTTGAATTTTAGGTTGATTTGTTATAAAATTAAGGTGATATGATTCTCGAATTTTAGCGTATTCCGATAATAACTTGCCGTAAGATATTAATGATAATTCGACAAATTGGTATATATTTTTCTTGAAAATCAAAAATATCTTTAAACAAATATTGGTTAATAAAATTTGATATTTGTAATTTAATACTAGAGAATTAGTTAATAAATTTGAACGATAAGGTAACCGACAACAAACTTAGAAAATCGCGAGATAATGTATATATATACATATAAATATATAAAAAAATTTATTGTGTAGTCCAAATTTGATTCTAAATTTAAAAGTCAAATGAGTAAATATTCATAACTTACGAGTCTGTATTAACTTGGACATAAATGGAATAGGTAATTATTTATAGTTTAATAAATTACTCAACTACTCATTTTTCGATTTGGATAGTTTATACAAAAATAGTTCCATTGTAATTAATGAAACAATATAAGTTTTATAATTATCCTCATCATTCACATAGATTTTTAAAAGTATTATAAAATTTTACCAAAATATTTATTTTATAGAATCACATTGTAGTCAAATCGAATTTCAGAATAACAATTTTAAAATGACACTTATTTTAAAATGAATGTAATGTCATTTATTATCAGTTACGTGCACCTTACGGGTTGTGTACTAGTTTAAAATAGACATGTTTTATGTAATTTTGATCAATCTAAATTTCATATACCATTTTCAATAAATTAATATAGGTAAATTGTATTACATATAGATTTCATATTTTAAATTTATAAATATCATTTAATGATCATCTTTAATTTATAAATATTAATGAATATCTCTTACTCGTGTATCGCACGGGATTCATAGTATACTCGTACTGAAAGAGGTTTATTGAATATTCTAAAATAGTAATTTTAATTTTGTAATTAAATATGTTGAGTTATTATTAAAGAAAATATAGTAAAAATTACTTTAATATTTATAAAAAATATGAAAATTAAATTATACCTACCTGTTATAAATCGTGCAATCCGATTAATAGCACGACTTTCTATATAAAAAACGTGGTATCAATTCTGAAAATTATTTTGTGACAATTATCTTAATAAAAAAAATGATTATTCATATTAATTATGAATCACTACAATTTCTTATTCTTTTGGTAACCAACCATACAACGGGTCTTCAAAAAAATGTCTATTAAATATATTTCGTTTTTAGAAATATTATTTGAATATGCACGATAAAGATTGCAAATATAGTTACAAAATAAAAATTGAAAAATTAATTATTAAATTTTTATTATAATATTTATCGCAATGTTACAATTGAATCTTACTTATCAACATTTTTTATTCATTCGGTAACCAATCATATACCAAAATACTTTTTATCGTATCCTCAAAAAATCATTTAATCAAGAGGATTAGTTTAAAATCTTTTAATTTATCAATAACTCAACTGTTCTAATTTTTCAAATATTATAAACCTATTTTTTCAAAATATCAAAAGGAATTAATATAACTATTATCTTTGGCCTATCTTTATCCTTAATAACAAATCGTGTGTCCTTCTATTTTATTGTGTATCCAGTCATATGTACATCGAAATATGCGTAAGAACATTGCAAAATATAGTACAAAATACATTTAGAAATCAATTGACAATATCTTATTGATATAACTACCATAATACTATAATATAATTGATACATCAACATTAATAACAAATCCATGTGATTTTCTATTCATTTCATAACGAACCATATACCAAAAAGTATCTATTCAAATAGTTCAAATATATCATTTGATTTTATCTACAACTGCACCAAACTAGTTTTATTAAAAATTCATATTGCGATTCACAATATCATAACAAATCTCATACAAATTAATTGATTAGAAAAAAAATATTTATAATATTGTAAATTATAAGGAAAATAAAATACTATTGATGTAATTAAAAATTAATAACTTTTTAACGTCAAATAATTATATTACAATATTTTTTAATTGAGTGTTGATTATAATATTTGCTACAATTTCAGCCTAACTTATTCAGAAATCGAAATTATATATTGTAACTCGTGTTCTAAAAGTCGCTAGGCGCCTGCTAGGCACTCGACGGAGTCTAGAAATCAATATTAAATACCTTATTTTTTTATTTATTTTAACTACCTATAAAATAAAACTGTCTTAACTTATAAAAAATCCACGCACCTAAGTCCAAAAAATAATATTAATATATTTAAAAAAAAACATGAGAACAAAACAATGTAATTAGTATTTAAAAAAAAAATAAAAAATGCTGAAAAATTGCCACCGAGCCCGCCTAGGTCCGCCTATGCCCGCCTAGACGTCGCTTAACCGCCAAGTCCGCCTAGGACCGCCTGGCCAATTTTTTTGGCCGATTTGTGCAAATTAAAGGCGGCCAGGCACCGCCTAGGGCAATTTTTAGAACAATGATTGTAACAAGGTATGGGCAATGAGAGAGAAGTATTATGTGAGTATTCATTATTGATAATATTTGAATATGTTAAATTTTCATTATCCTTAATTATAAACATGATCTAAAATGAAAACTATTTTATAACGAGTGAGATAAACATATAAATCATATATTAAATTATTATATATCATACAATAATTGAATAAAATAAAAAAGAATTATTAATATTCAAAACTATTTTTATACTAATCAACATTGCTTCATTGTTTTAATACATTCAATTATAATTTATTGTGATGCACGAGAGACAGTACTAGTATAATAGCAACTTATGCATTACATGAGTGCAAATATGCATCATACTAGAATTAAGAAATTTTCATTATTCTTGAAAAGGGGAGAGGCTGAAGAAAAATAAAATGAAAACATATAAAACCAACAAAATTGGTTTCAAACAGTAAGATATATAAACTGATGAGCAGCTGGTAAAGGGTATAGAGAGTTGATATATATGATCTTCCTGAAATACAGAATGCTAAGTTGAGAAAGTAAAATAATTACCTACAACTACAAGATTCTTGGCATTTCACGTCATGTTTGAATATATAGTCTACACTCAGTCTAGTCTTAAAAGGAGAACTAATATTGGAGTAGAGACTGCCAACAAGAAGGAATAGGATTTGTACCACTTTCCACCTCCAAAGACCTGAAATATTCAAAGCCAAAAGGATGTTTGAGTATTTACTTTTTTTNAAAAAAAAAAAAAAAATTGAAAAAAATGATGTTGCGGGTTCTGCTACTGTATTTACTTGGCCATATTTGGTTTTAACTATATGACATTTATAGATGAGGCAGAGCTCAGGAAGATTACAATATTGTACACATTTAAATAGGGTGAAATCCAAAATCAATATCCTGAAAAAAGCATAAACAATCATATTTTCCATGGAGTCTATGATTTCAGTCCAACAGCAAGCTTTCTATAAAAGTGACTTTTTTTCCAAAAAAAGCAAAAGAAAGAAACATAGTTACACCATCAAATTGAACATAAAGGCAATTCCTTACAGACAAAGGCAAATATTTACAGCATATTCTGATGCAACCAAACTTACTTTTAATTCTTTATGGAGATTACAGTTGTAGATACAATGTCCACAATTCCTTAATTGCCACAAGCAAAAGATTAGAGGGTTTCTTTGGGAATGAGATTTCCTGCTCCATTTTCATGTTCCACTCCGTTGGACGAATGACACGTGCGCGTAAATAATGATGTCATATTTGTACACATGTCAATCATCCAACTCGAAATGGAACATGAAAGTGGAGCAGAAATTTGAACCCGTTTCTTTGTTCACAGTATAAAAAATGCAACATGCATTCAAACGTACACTATTCTCCAGTTCAAATTCAAATTTTCGCTTTAGCTCTATTACAGAACTACTGCTTTAATCCTTATATAAGAAATTATATTTTCCTGTGTTTATTATTGTAGGCATAGTCATCATAGATACTCAAGTTTTGTAGTAGACGAAAAACCAAATTTCTTGGAAATTAACCTGTTCCATCAAAGCTAAACTCCCAACTCATGATGTTAAATTTAAGTTTTGTACTTATTTTGAACATGAAGTTCTTAAATTACTCGTCCAGTCCACCAATAGAACAGTTGAACAAATAGGCACACCTATTAAGCTATAACAAATGTCACTCACTGTGAATGTTACACAAACAAAAAAAAAAAAGAAAAAAGAAAAAAAAAATGCAAAAAGATCCTAAAAAAGTGGACACTTCAGAATAGATCTCCTGCAATATAGGATCATGACAACTAGGCCCGACAAATATAGTATATGGTTTCTTGGAGCTGAGACTGTGAAATATATATATATAAACTAATTGCATTAAAAGACATCTCTATGGATGTTATGACTCGCAAATCACACGCATGCTGAATCTTTCTCTATGGGCCTAACCTAAGCAATATTTTAAATGGAAAAAACCATCCTTTGCTCCACCTGAAATTTTATCGCACAAAAGACAGGCATTCATCTCCTCTTAAACCGAATCATATAACAATTATCATAATAGCCAGATTGCCCAAATTGTAAATCACATCCTGGAAAAGAATAACAGTACCTGTCGGGAAGAAGTTGCTGATGAAGATCTAAGTCCAGGAAAGCCAATATTATAAGAAATAGTCCCGTCTGCTTTGAACAATCCATAGTATTTCTCAGAACCAGCTCCAGGTTTTGAATTCTCATTGAACAAAGCAAATATGTATGCTTTCAACATAGTTCTTGGCATCATTGGAGTCCCTTTCCTCTTGGCCAACCTTTTTCGCAAATTATAGTGATATGTTCTTGCATTGTCAGGAGTAGCTGCAGGTTCATTCTCATCCCCATGTGAAGCCCAGCCAGTTTCTGTTATTATGACTTCCATTTTCTTGAAATCCGCATTTTGTAAAGCTGCATAGGCCGCATCAATTTGAGCATCGAGCAAGTTATCGTAATGCAAATTGGTTTTGTTATCGTAAATCCCTTGGTTGGGCTGAAAAAGCGCGTAATTTATATCTATTTTGCCTGGATTATAAGTGTAAGCTAAAAATGGGTATGCGTTGAGACAGAAAGGAGAGCCGATTTGAGAAAAAAAGTCCAACAGAGGCTTCATTAGCTGCGCAACTCCTTCTTTGAAGATGCAAGAAGAAGGAGGGTAAGAATTAGCGAAAACCGCCTGAGAATGAGCAGTGGAAATCTGAATAATGCGATCCAAACCGAGAGTTTTGGTGGCATTGTGTATATTTTTCACGGCACCTAATAAAGATGACGCAAGATCATTATCATTCCCGCCCAAAATTTCATTCCCCACGGCAATCCCGACTATGTGAGTCTCTGGAAGAAAGGCGTTGACATTATCTCGAACCCATGTTAAGGCATGATCTGCATTACTACTCATATCTTTTACATATTCGTTCGGGAGGCCAATTACTAACTCGAGACCACTCCCTTTGAATGCATTTAGAACAGTGTGGTCAGCATCATAGATCCTCACATTCTTTATCTTTGCAGCTTTCAGTATAGTAACAACTTTGTCGGGCGAAGGTATATTATTTGCTATTCGACCGTAATTGATTCCGTATGTCCCGGTGAATGCAGATGTCATAACTGCTCAAACAAATACCACAGACCATAAGCATAGTGTACTTCAAACAACTATTCACATCAAATTGCACTAAAAGTAGCCCAGTACACAATAATTATCAAAGCCCGGACAAACAAACAATCGATGCTTAATTCAATTGGATTCACAACAATTTAGGCTAGCTTAATAAATTTGATATAGCAGAACATAACTCGGTCATAAGCCCTAAACTCATATTTGATATACCAGAATAATCAGCCCTAAAGCTTATGTACAGAATAAAAAACCCAATCTTTATAACTAGAGTCTTGAAGCCATTGGGTGGCATCTATCTGCCTTTTCAAGTGTCTGCCAGCACATTGAAATTCAATCTCAGAACTCAAAGATAAACAAAATGAACCGAAAAAAGTTGAAAAAATAAAAAAAAAAAATTATTGATCGCCTTACTCGAAGAACTACTGATCACGATCAATAATCCAAAAAGAAAAACTGATCTCACTAGACAGTCATAATCAGAGCTTTACAGTTACATCGTATACAATTTCGCTTAAAACAGAAAGGAATTGAGAAACACGCAAACTAAAATGGTAAAAACGAAAAAGCGCACAAGGAATCAAGACAAAGTAATTACCTTTTACCCCAAGAAAGAAAAAAATGATCGTAAATCGAAGAATCTTCATTGCTTCTTGAATCTTTCCTGCTTCGTTAAAATAAGAAGTAGCAGCCGAAATTGATCGTTTTTTAGTAATTCTTCTGACGCAAACAAGCCATCGACCGCTCCCAAACTTTCTTCAAAGGCACAAAGTTCGTGTCGTGTCTAAAAAACTCTTCTGCAGAATTTCGAATTAAAGGTCACTGCGGAATATCTCCAAAAATAACGGCGGTGATAAGCCAGCGACGGTTACTGGCCGTCGGTTTCCTGTATATTTTTTCTGCAATAAATTGAATACTTATTTAAATAAGGTTTACGATAAGGCAGTATGATATGAAATTTCTCTCGGGCGGTGATTGGGTTGTAGTTTTTTTACGCGTACTTGCTTTTTAGGCTTTAGCAGAGTCCAAATTCCTCCACTTCACCCAAGTGTAGTGTGTCAGTGTGTGTACTCGACTTTAATATTGTATTTTCAAATTGGAAGGGGTGTATGGAGAGAGAGATGGAGGAGTTGGANCCATGAACGAACAATTATATGCCTTTATATTATTTGCATAGTTAACTCAACCAATTTGAAAATTTTAATTTTATTTCTCTCTCTAAGATTTTTCCCCCAAATTCGCACAGCCCAAGAAAACTTCAGGCCATCTTGTCGCCGCCTTCCTTCCGTAGGCGCCAGCCCTCCGCGGCGCCGACTTCACTGGGCAGCCGGCGAGTCTTTCCCCGATGTCCCCTGCAAACTGGCGAGGCGCTTCTTCGATTCCTGGTGGATTTGGTGGTGCTGTTGTGGAGATCCGACGTCAGATGGGTCGGCTCTTGGTCGCCGTCGCCGTGTCGCTTCTGTTGGGCGGCCGACTGCTGAGTTCATGACAGTGTAAGCTTCGTGGGGCATCCCGCATCCTGGTGCTGTGGCGGGTGGTCCGATGGTGGGGCTTTCGGTTGCTGGTGGTGGGTAATCGACGGCTCCCGACCGGTTTGGTGTTAGGGGGTCTATCCGACGAGAACCCGTGGTGGAACTCGGAGTGTTTCCGGCAGGAGGAGGTTCGGCTTGTGTGTCCGGGTTTAGTTAGGCCTCGATTGCAGTTTCTAGATCTGGATTGAGTCGTGCTTCTGTTTTTCTGTCAGGATGTTCGCGTGTGTGGCTCGATTGTCTGTTGCGGATGTGGAGGGCTCTTCTTTCTTACCTTATTTTCTTCCGTGTTATGTTTGTGCGTGTTGTTTAGTGTTTGTGGTTGTTTTGTGTTTTAGTTGTTGTGTTGTTCTCTTTTCTCTTGTTTGGGAGCGTGTTTTCTCCTGTTGGGAGCGTGTTATTCTCTTGTTGGGAGTTGTATAGTTTGTTGTGATGTGGATGTGTTAGTGTAGTTGTTTCTAGGCTACCTCCGTGTAGGCCTTCTAGATTCAGCTGGTTAGTTGCTTGGCTATTCTGGCTGTAATTACGTGGTTTTTAGTTTTATAAAATTTCTATCGTTTCGAAAAAAAAAAAACTCAACCACATATTAGAATTGTTGAAAAAATATAAAGTAGTGATTTGTCTTTCTTTTCAAATGTTTGACTAACTGGTCAAGGAAACATTTTTGCATGTGGATTGAGGATCTTCCTAGCCAGTGCTTTTAGTTGGAGTTATTAGTTCTGGGATCATTTTCTGTAGCTCGTTTGGTTTTGATCGTGGGGTTGGTTTGTTGTAGTTGTTGGCTTGTGTGCTAGGTTGTGTGCCTGTTGCTAGTTGTTTGCGTGGAGTAGGGGAGGTAGTACTCTTTAATTAATTAGATTAACTAGTTTATGCGTGTGTGTTTTGTTAGGTTGTGTGTTGCTTTCCACTTGTTGGAGTTAGGTAGTCTACACTTGTTGGAGTAGGTATTCTCAACTTGTGAGAAATTTTTGTTTTGGGTTTGGGTTAATCGTCCAACAAACCAGTTTCAATGCACTTGTAGCTGTCGAATGCTTGAATCTCTCTGTCTTGTGTTTTAGTTTTTAGTTTAGGACACTTCTTTTAGTGCTCCTCTTGAGTCAACTTTTGGTGAATTTGTAAGGCTAGTAAGCCTTCGAGCTTCATCTTGTGATTCATCCTTTTGAGGTATACAATCTATCATTCGAACAAAAATAAATCAAGGAAACACTTTCAATTTATACATATATATATATATATATATATATATATATATATATATATATATAAAGATGGGATCATATGAGAATGGTAGATAGTAAAATAAATAAGAATAAATATGTGTCCAACACATCAATGATTATGATTAAGTCAAAACATGGTCAATCATTAATGACAATGTTGTAATTTAACATACACATTGTGGTCAGATGTACACATTTGACCCTAATTAAGGATAAAATTGTCATTACAAACAATAACACATCAAATATGGTTCCCACACCCACTTGCCCGTCACCTTCCCCACCCCAACCCCTTTACACACACACACACGCACACAATCTCCTCCTCTCTCTATTAATTCCGGTGGACCCGGCTACGCAGACTCGCCGCCGCATCTCTCCATTTCGGCTGACGAGCCTCCTCAGCCCATCTGACTCGACCCATCCGGTCGTCGGACCTCCACATCCCCGCTGCTACGCCACTGCCGCCCGTGTAGCGCCCTGTTCGTTTATTAGAATTTTTTGAATATTATATTATTATTTATTTACATTTTATTTGATTTATTACTTTGTTTTATATTATTTGCTCGATTATTGACTGCTTGTCTTTGCCTGTATTATTTATCTGCTTAAATATTAATTCCTATATGCTTATTTGTCCTTATTTATTTTGTGATTATCTTATTTATTTATGTGCATGAATTTTTAGGATTAATTGAGTTAGAAAAAAATTGTTTCGGCGATTTTTGGTTTGATCGCGTAAAGCAAACTTTTTTCGTTTTAAAAATCATTTTCGAGCAATCGACTTGTGAACATTTTTATTTAGTCGAACTCTTGTCTATTTTAGACTTAGTATTGATTTTCGACCCAATTGATCTAATATTACGGCCCATTTTAAGTCAAATTTCTAGCCCAGATTAGTTGGGTTTTCTTGCCAAAATAAATTAAAGATTTTGGCCCAATTTTATTAGTTATCTTGGCCAAAACAAAAACCCACTCCAACTACCCTATTTCTTTCCCAATAGTCCAGCTCATTTCTTGGGATTATTTATTTATTNAAAAATAAAAAGGACGTATTGTATAAATCCGTTTTTTTCTTAAAAAACGGATTTCTTGAATACGTTTTTTTAAGTAAAACGTATTAAATTTATCCGTTTTACTAAAAAATAATTAATTAACATAATTAATGTAATTAAGTTAATTACATTAAACGAAAAACGTATTATTATAATACGTTTTATAATTAAAATTATTTTATTAATTATAAAACGGATTATTTTTATACGTTTTTTAAAAATAAATTAATTTTAAAATTATTAAAAATAAATTTTCTGGGGAAAATAATTTTGGAAACATAAAACGTATTTGACAAATACGTTTTCTGTGTAATTTTTTCCCCCTAATTTTGACCTAATTTTGCCTTAATTCTTCATAAAACGGATTCTATGAATCCGTTTTTCTCTGCAGAAAAATGCAAAATATTTTTTTGGATCCATTTCACAACCTGTTCAACAAATCACAACATGTCCAAGCAACTAATATGAATCAATTCGCCCAAAATAATCCTACAAACACTATATACAAAAACTCAACGACAATAATTTATTCAAAACACAAATATGAGTATACAAAATGAAAAGAAAATTAACACATATGTTCACAAAACTCCCTGAATACAATACAAACTAATTCGGAGTGTATCGATTCGTAGGATTGCGTTGTCGTTGGCTGATCCGACATTGTGGTCGTCGTGAAGAAGACGATGCTGTGGGCGTGACTGGTTCTTCTTCTTCTTGTTCTTCACCTAAATAAATAATTTTTTTAAAAATCACAATAACTAAATAAATAAAAGAAATAAAATTATTTTTTTTGTTAAGTTAAAAATTTTCACCTTCTTCCTCTTCCTGAGGCCCGGTATCGGCAGCGGGTTGGCGGTCGCGTCGTCTTCTACCTCCACCAATGTTGGCAGCAGGTTGATGCCTCGCCCGGTGTGACTGCGTCCTCTGGGATCGGACGTAGCTCTCCTCCGTTAGAACTTGGCTCGACGACGGCCTTTGTGCGACATCTCCGCCTCCGACAGTCATAGAACTGTAGAGAAGGCTCTTGGCCTGTAAGACTGCGGCCTGCACCTCTGGAGGGAGTGTATGAAAGAGGTGGTCAACATTCGTTAGCGTGTGATAAGCTCCCTCCATGGCGGTAGTCTGAAAATTAAATTCAAAGTCAATTAGAATGAAACACAAAATAATAATAATAATAATAATAATAATAATAATAATAATAATAATAATAATAATAATAATAATAATATAGTAATAATAATAATAATAATAGAATAAAAAACAGAAATATATATTACTTACGTCGCACTTCCCCTGCTCGGCAAGTGGGCGAAAGCCTCTGTCCGGTTGGGCCACCGCGTACTTGGCAGGGTCACCGAGTAGTCTCACAGTGATACTGTGAAACCAATCAAGGTAACCCGCCTCAGGGTTAATGAATGAGTCCACAGGGAATGTTGGGATGACATTTTCGTCTCTATGTTCGACCCAAGCATTCCCAAGCTCTCCGTGAAAGGTCACCCAGTCAACAACTGCCCTCCCGGTCATTCCTTGGCCTCGATGGTGTCTCTGATATTCGGTCTCAGTCGGAATGATAGGAGGTTCGGGGGCGGACTGCCGACACCCGAACTGACGGAGGACCCTATCAGGCATGTGGACTTCACGGACGTTCCAGTTGAAGATCCACCCCCTATACATCCAGAGGTGTGAACCTTCTGTACACTGGGCCGGGAGAGCATTCCCTTGCAGGTGCCACTGATAGGGTAGCCATTTGAACTGAAAAATAAAAAATAAAAAAAAAATTAATCAGGAATTAAGTTATAAAAAAATTAAAACAAACAACAAATAATAATAATAATAATAATAATAATCTTACATTCGTCTCAGTGAGCCCTGTCAGTTGATCCCGGGTGGTGGTTGTTCCCTTGCCCAGGTGTGTTGTGCTCCTCCTTCCCACCCACCTTAAAAATCACAGTAAAAAAAAAAAAAATTGTAATCACAAAATTTAATAGTGGAAATAAAGTAAATATTAAATATAAATAAATTTTATTACCTTCCACCTAGGGGACAACCAGGGACTCTCTCAAAGTTTGTATCCCTCATTCTTGGGCGAATACGAGGGATACGTTCATATGCCCAAACCTACACATATCGACATATTCATTTGTTATTAGATATTAGTCTAAATTAGAAAACAAAAAATGAATTTTGAAATAACAAGCAAATAAATTTACCTGAATCAGTTGGACACAGTTCTTGATCCACTTTTCCCCGGACTTGGCGCTCGTGCAGAGCGCTCTATACACTCCGGCCAGGACCGCCGAACCCCAGCTGTACATCTTGATCGTATCAATGTCGTGCAAAAGCTGCAACCAGTAGAGGTTCACTCCATTGCCCCTCTGGTCGGGGAAGAAGAAGCAACCGATGCACCAGAGTATAAGGGCCTTCGCCCTCGACTCGTAGGTGAAGCAATTCTCTTCATCGGCTAGTTGTCGGTTGCACTCCTCTTCTAACGCATAGGCATTCAAATACTGGTCTGTAATGGCCCAAGTGCTGGGGTCTTGAACCGGTTCCTCGGAATTTTGAGAGTGGTTTATATATATTAAATTAGTGAATGGAGTAAACATAAATAAATTAAAAAACAAATGTTAGAAAAAATTTATCTGAACATAGGGCTCGAACCCTAGCTCATCATTACAAATTTCTTGCCATTTAAGTGGCGTGTTATCTTGAGTCTCTCCTCAACAAGGCTCTCCATCGATCGGGAGACCAAAAAGGACTTGTACGTCCTGCAGCGTGATGGTGGTCTCGCCGAAGTCAAAATGGAAGGTATGCGTCTCCGGTCGCCACCTTTTCACTAGACACGTGACGAGGCTGTTGTCGGTCATGACTCTGCCCATTCGAAACAGCAGGCCAAACCCCGTCCTCTCAATGGCATCCCAAACTCTGGGATGCTGGTGATCCAACGCCTTCCAGAACTGAGTGTCGAAACGGCGGGGTTTAATGACGACGTCACGACATCCGCCTATATCTTCGAACAAATCACTCGACCGGTGGCCGTACTGAAGATATAGAACGGACGGATCTCTCAGACCGGGATGTACATTGAACCGCTGCGGTTGTGAGGACGACGAAGATGCCATTGTCTGCCAAAAAAGAAAAACAATCATTATAATATACTACATACTACAAAAAAAAAAAACAATAATTAATCAAATTACAATAATACAATTATATTCACAAAAAAAAATCACAAAAACACAAATAAATGAAACAAACAATAAATTCACAAATTTAAAAATCATATACACAATAATTCGAAAATAATCTTTAATCGACAATTCGACTCCAACAATTCAACTTCCGACAAAATAATCCCTAAACATATTATATAAATTCACAACTAAATTCACAATATGTCAACAATATGTACAACAATCCCTTTGAGGCATTTTATCGAACACGTTCAAATCATAAATTTTCAAACAAACTATAAAACCCTAATCAATTTCCAAATAACCAATCAATTTATCACCAAACATATACAATCAAACCATCCATCAACATATTTCAATCCATAACTCAATCCAATAAAAACCCTAAATTTAGCCCTAATTCTAAATTATTGAAACAATTGAAAAAATGAAAGAGTAATAGAAGAAACGTACCTAATAGACGGGAAGGAGGCGCGGTGGCAGGGCAATAGGCGGCGACGGCGCGGCGGGCGGCAATAGTCTTCTTCCCGAACTCAAATCGCTCTCTTCTCTTCTCTCTTCTCTTCTCTCTTCTCTTCTCTTTGTGTTGTGCTTGGTTTCTACTGTTCGCGTAGGGAAGAAGAGGAATTTTTTTTTGGTTTTATTTATTTGTAAAACGGATTCACGGAATCCGTTTTTTGGTTCTATTTATTTGTAAAACGGATTCATGGAATCCGTTTTATACTTTTAATTATTTTAAAAACGAATTGTAAATCCGTTTTATAAATGCAAAAAAAATTGGTAAGAGGATCCCAGATTTGGGACTCGAACCCGGGTTCGAGTGAGTCCGTTATCTCTGGGGCACCTCATTACCATTTGGCCAGCTAGACTATCGCTGATATTTTTGCACAACTTTTGTTCTTATCCTTCAACATCAAGATTTTTTATATACTATAGTATTGTTAATATATTGTATATACATATATATATTATAATTTTGACATATAGTATATATTATATAGTATATATTATATTATATATTATAACATATAAACATAAACATATAAACTATAAAGTATAACATATAAACTATAAACTATATAAATTATATTATATAGTATATATATATATTATATAGTATATATATATATTATATATACTATATAGTATATATATATATATATATTATATATACTATATAGTATATATTATATAGTATATAGTATATATTATATAGTATATATTATATATATCATTACATATAAACATATAACCATATAAACTATAAAGTATAACATATAACACATAAACATATAAACTATATAAATTATAAACTATAACATATAAACATATAAAAAATATTTATTTGAAAAACAAATAAACATATAAACTATATAAATTATAAAATATAACATCTAAACATATAAAAAATATTTATTTGAAAAACGGATTAGACGAATCCGTTTTAGAAATAATTATTCACAAAACGGATTCGTAGAATCCGTTTTATAAATACAAAAAAATGTAGCGAGGATCCCAGATTCGAGACTCGAACCCGGGTTCGAGTGAGTCCGTTATCTCTGGGGACACCTCGTTAACATTAGGCTGCGCTAGGCTATCGCTGAACTTTTGTTCTTATCCTTCAAAATCAAGATTTTTTATATACTATAGTATTGTTAATATATTGTATATACATATATATTATAATTTGACATATAGTATATATTACATAGTATATATATATATATTATATAGTATATATATTATATAGTATATATATTATATATATATATATTATACTATATAGTATATATTATATAGTATATATATTATATATTATATTATATAGTATATATTAGTACAATTGAACTCAATTATAGTGAAATCGAAATCAAATTAGTACAATTGAACTCGAATTGGTACAATTGAACTCGAATTAGTACATTATCGAACAAATTAGTTCAATTGAACTCGAATTAGTACAATCTCGGTCAATTATAATGAAATCGAACTCGAATTAGTACAATTGACTCAATTATAGTGAAATCGCAATCAAATTAGTACAATTGAACTCGAATTAGTACAATCTCGGTCAATTATAGTACAATTGAACTCGAATTAGTACAATTGAACTCAATTATAGTGAAATCGAAATCAAATTAGTACAATTGAACTCGAATTAGTACAATCTCGGTCAATTATAGTGAAATCGAACTCAAATTAGTACAATTGTACTCAATTATAGTGAAATCGAAATCAAATTAGAACAATTGAACTCGAATTAGTACAATCTCGGTCAATTATAGTACAATTGAACTCGAATTAGTATAATTGAACTCAATTATAGTGAAATCGAAATCAAATTAGTACAATTGAACTCGAATTAGTACAATTGAACTCGAATTAGTACATTATCGAACAAATTAGTTCAATTGAACTCGAATTAGTACAATCTCGGTCAATTATAATGAAATCGAACTCGAATTAGTACAATTGAACTCAATTATAGTGAAATCGAAATCAAATTAGTACAATTGAACTCGAATTAGTACAATTGAACTCAATTATAGTGAGGGCAAAAGAAAAATGAAGACAATATGGAACAAGACTTGGAGACTTCCAATACAAAACAAAATCAAAAATTTTATTTGCAAGTGTTGGAATGAATTCATAAGCTCTAATGTCAGGTTGAAAAAGAAAGGAATGTCTGTGGAGGTGATGTGCAGTTGGTGTGGAGAGAGGGAGGAAAATCTAGAGCATATCTTATTCTATTGTGAAAGGGCAGTGAGAGTGTGGCAGCTAAGTGGACTATCCTGGAATTGTTTAGCTGAGGAGAAAGCCTGCTTTAAAGATTGGTGGCATGATATGTGTATGATGGTCGAAGCTAAACGAGGGCTGGACAGAATTTCCTTATCCACCTACATATTGTGGTGGCTATGGAAAACAAGGAACCTTTGGGTGTTTAAGCAGGAGAGAATGGTAGAAACAGCTGTGGTGGAAAGGGCAAGACAGGATTGACTTGACTTTCAAAATGTGATGGGAATGAACAAGGGGCTGAGACTGAATGTTCAAAGCAATGCAACCAACTCAACCTCTGAGGCTCAGGAAAGTACAGGAGTAGGACAACTATGCTTAGTTGCCAGTGCTATCTACTTATCTGATGCTGAGGTGAAGCTGGGTGGATTAGCTAAAGATAATGAAAGCATGCAGAAACATTGGTGGTCTAAGCAGAATGCAGCAGCAAATATGGAGGGGGCAATCCTGTTAGCTATCAGATGGTGCTTGGAACAGGGACTCCAGCTGGGGTGGGCAAATATCACATGCAAAATCCAAAATCAACTGGTAGTTAACAGAATAAACAAAGGCCTGGGCTTCTCTTCTGATGTTGCTGTGATTATGGAAGATATTTTGTATTTAGTTGATCAGTTTGTTTCTTGTCATTTTGTTGTAGATGTAGATGCTTGTAATTCAGTTTGGACAATGGCCAATATGGCTGAAGAGGAGACATCAATTCTGTGATGTTCCCCCTATTTAACCTTAATAGTTTCTCATGGTTGTTAGGGTTAATTTGTAGTCCATTGACTAATCGAATATTGTATCATTTGAGTGTGGTTATAATATGTTATTATCGACTCAATTATAGTGAAATCTAAATCAAATTAGTATATAGTATATAACATATAACATATAGTATATAACATATAACATAGAATATAGTATATAGTATATAGTATATAGTATATAGTATATAGAATATAGTATATAGAATATAGTATATATAGAATATAGTATATAACATATATGTATATACAATATATTAAAAATACTATATACTATAAAAAATCTTGATCTTAAAGGATAAGAATAAATGTTGCGCAAAACTTTCAGCGATAGCCTAGCGCGGCCCAATGGTAACGAGGCGCCCCCAGAGATCACGGACTCACCCGAACCCAGGTTCGAGTCCTGAATTTGGGATCCTCTTACCATTTTTTTACATTTATAAAACGGATTTCAGAAATCCGTTTTTCAAATAATTAAATTTGTAAAACGGATTCCTGGAATCCATTTTTTAAATAATTTTTTTTAAAAAACGTATTAACCAAATACGTTTTCTACTGGGGATGAAAAAAAAAATACATGTTTTTTCTATTGTAACACCCAAAAAAAACCTGTTCTAACAATCCAAAATAACAAAACAAATCGAAATACACAATCTAAACCAAAATACCATCAAAACCAAAATTACAGTAAATACCATCCAAATAATTCTAAACAAATCATCCAAACAAATTCAAATAATCTAACCAAATCCAAATGAACTCACCAAACAAATCCTAATAAACACTAACAAATCTAATTTCCCCACTCATCACGAAGTCTAGACCTGTCGGTGCGAGGATGTGAAGACGGACACTCATCCACAACATGATTTGGATCACCGCATCTAGTGCACTGTCCCCTATCCCTCCTGCGGCGTGCCCGACGATCCATTTGCATGCAATCGTCTCGTTTGCACGCGACCGGGTCCAGGCTTCAAGATCATTCTCTCCCAGTGTGGTATCAATTTCCACTCGACCGGCGCCCATGTATCCGGATTACCAATCGGAGCAAAACTCCAATTGCTAAATTGAGCTACCCAGTTCTCAGTCAAAAAATACTCACTGTACAACAGTTTTGGGTCAGTCCCAACTGAACGACATACTGTTATCGCATGAGAGCATGGTTTCCTATGCGTTTGCCACTTCCAACAACTACAACGTGCTCGGTTATAATTAACCTTATACCTGTAATAATTCCTCAGTGATTTATATATACAATATGAAAAAATTGAATGGACAAAAAAAAAAAAAATTGAATGGACAAAGAAAAAAAAAAACATATACTTACTTGTTTTGTCCTCTTCCACTAGCCAGTAAACCGGTTTCCACTTCGTATATGGAGCTGTCGGCGTCCCTAACTCTCACATTATGAGTGGCGGCTGTCTTCTCCAATTGCAAATATGCGTTAAAGTGCTCCCTAGCAATGGGACTCCCGCATCTCGTGGATTTGTTTTGTTCCTGTTGAAACAAATCAAGAGTTTTATAAAATGTGGCGTCTACCAAAGCTCTGCACAGTAGGAACCTAACCCCTTTCAGGACGTTGTTGTAACTCTCCGACATATTCGTTGTCAATGTGCCCCATCTGCGTCCTTGATCTTTCAATAGGGTCCACTTGTTCAAAGGAATTCGAAAAAGGTAATTGTGTGCTTCGGAACTCAATGCCAACAGTCGCTGTTCTGTCCCTCGAAACTTTCGCTCTGACAATTGCGGACCCAATTCCCAACACCAAGTCCGAATTTTCTTACTCCTGAACTTAATCACCAAGTTGCTTCGAAGGTGTCGAAGGCAAATCCGGTGATACGCAGCGGGTTCTTGCCAATCTGCTAATGATTCAATGGCATTGAGCAGGCCCGCATCCCTATCGGAAAGAACGCAGATCCGTCTCTGGAAGACTACATATTGCCGCAGATTCCTAAGGAAAAATGACCAACTGTCTGTGCTTTCTTCATCGACAAGCGCATACGCGACTGGCAATAGGCGCTTATTCACAGTCTGTGCCGTAGCCACAAGCAATTTTCCCTTGTAGGATCCACGCAAATGTGTGCCATCGACGCTAATAACCGACGGGCACATTTGAAAAGGTTGAATGGCGGGACCAAACGCCCAGAATACGAATTTGAATTGTCTGTCTCGAAGTTGTCGCGCCATTTCCCCACCCTGCCATTCTCACTCTACAACTGTGGAGGGATTCTGTAATATCCCATTCAGTAATTAATAAAAGTAATTATTTTAGTTCTAAGTTTGAACTAATTACTTTTATTAATAATGCTCGTTCCTAGTTTCGAGCCCAGTTATTAAGTTATTCAGTTAAAAGTTCGACTTTAAGTTGAAAGTATTATCGGTTAAATTTTATTTAGTAATCGAGCCAGTTCAGTAATTAATTAATTTCGGTCTGTTTATTTTTATAAATGGATTTATAAGATGAGATTAATTATAATAAGATGACGAATAATAAAATCCGAGTATATTTTGATTACTCGTTCAAGATAAGTCGTGAACCGAACCAAGCATGTTCGGTTACGAGTTAAGATTATTACCGAGCAAATGATTCTCGAGCCTAGCTTAGTTTTGAGTATTGATCCAGTTATAAGGATTAATTAGACATTAATGTTTATTGAATTGAAATAAGTTATTTAAGATGAAGTTCAAGTTCAAGTAACATTCCATTTTATTTAGCTAAATGGATGTAAATTTGGCCATTTCTAGTTTGAATGAGAAAGAAAAAGAATAATGAGTCGAGACAAGTTAGGTCTTGAGTTCGGTTAAGTATCCATGAACATTTAAGTTATAAATGTTCAAAGAAGTGAGAAAATTTATTTAGACATTTTAGTCTATTTAAATTATTAGAGAGAAATAAGATTTTTAGAATTTTCGTTTTTTTCGGTTTTCGATTGTAGTCGGAATATATGTCCGATTTCAGTTCCGAGAAATAAATTAAATTATTTTCTCTGTATATTTTTAGTAGACTACAAGATAAGAAAAATTTTTCAGCATAAAAAGGAAAAATGCCAAAAGAAAAGAAGGAAATTCGAAAATTGTAAGAATTTTCGATTTTACGGTAACTGTTCGTTTTAAGTCAGAATTTGGTTCCGTAAATTGGAGAATTTTCACTAAATCTCGAATTTAATCATTGAGATCAGATTAGGATCAGAAGAGGGGCCTTTCTAAGCATTGACTATGGGTTGGAGAAGTTTACAAGTTAAGAATACTATTTATTATCTATATTTATTTTTACAAGTTTATATTGTTTATTTTGTTAATTTCTTCACTCAATTATGATGTCTTGAAAATTGTGCCTATAAATAGAGGCCTAAAAATCAGATTTTATGTACCAAAGTTAAGTACCAAAAGTTATATAAGAGTGTAAGATAGATAAAAACTTTGGAGAAGTGAAGAATTTGAAGTAAAGAATCAAATTTTTATTCTAGCAAGAAGGAGGTAATTTACTTATTTTAAAGTTACATGCTTAAGTTCATGTTTTGATAATAAGTTTACATGTTTATAAGTATGTATATCATGATATAGAAGTTAAGTTTATAATTGATTCTATGAATATAAAGAGTTAAAGTTGTTCAAGATCAATTATATGATATATGTACTTGATTTGATGAGATGTTGATAAAGATATGAATAAGCTGGAAGAGTATAATACCATATTAATGTTTATGAAGACATGATTTATACAAGGTTAAGTAATTGACCTTAAGTATAAATAAAAAGAGAAGTTAAGTATAAACTTGAGAAAAAGCAAGTTTAATGAATTTCTATAAGATTTGGATAAGTTAAAAATCCTAAAAATCTTATTGAGTATATGAGCATAGTACTTAGTATATTTGTCTATATTTGATGTAACTTGCAGATACAGTACCAGTACAACACTTATCGTTTTTCAAATGATTTCAAAGACAAAAAGGTGGGGGACCCTGAATGGGTATCACGTTGAGTACGATATTGATGTCATATGGGATGAGGAGTCCATCAGTTGTCTCAGAGTATATCCTAAAGTTTAAGTTTATTGTTCTCAGAGATTATATCCTAAGTTCTGATGGAGGCCGTTAGGTGCCTTAGAAATATCCATCAGAGTGTGCACACGTATCCGATTAACTATCGGCAAGATAAGAGAAAAGTTTAAGTTACCGATCAGATATCGGTTTATGATTATCCATATTCGTTACTCACCCCCATGAGTTTTATGATTAAATACGTTTTTCAATTTTTTTTTAGTTAATTAAAAACGTAATTATATTATACTGTTTAAAATATTTTTTTTTAAATTTAAATTTTATAAATTAAAAACGTATTTAATAAATCCGTTTTTCAAAACCCCAAAAATCAATCAATTTAGGGTTTTATAAAACGGATTTATTAAATCCGTTTTTCAGAAACCCAAAATCAATCAATTTAGGGTTTTATAAAACGGATTTAATAAATACGTTTTTCAAAACTTAAATTGATTGATTTTTGGGGTTTTTGAAAAACGGATTTATTAAATCTGTTTTATAATTATTAATTTTTATTCCATTCCTCTCTTTTTAAAAAGAAATAAATATTTTTTAAATTATTCAAAATTAAATAAAAAACGTATAATGAAAATCCGTTTTTCTAATAAAATGTTATTACAAAAACGGATTCGTAAAATACGTTATTTTTATTTTTTTCCACTGGTTTTTTGTTTTTTTTTTTCTCCACTTATTATTATTTTTTTTTTAATAAATAAACTACCCATTTCTTGAGCCCTATTTCCCACGCACACCGTCACCTCCTCACCCTCAATCTCTTCTCCTCGACTGCACATCGATCCTCTGCCAGAAATTCTCCACTCCCGCCGGTGTCGTCTAGCAATTCCATCAACCTCGTCGCGAGCAGCAGCGAGTAACCCGTCGCCGTGAGCAGCCGCTGACGTCAGCCCCGTCGTCGGGTGATTTCGACCTCTCGGCGACCGAGTCCACCCCGTCCTTCGTCAACGACCGTGACCTCCGACTTCCAGCCACGTCCTCGACCTGCGACGTTGAGACGAGCTCCCTCACGGCTGAACTGTACCCTATGTTTGACGCGGCATGTTCGGACGAGTTCTTTCGATGTCGTGCACCGTGCGTGGTCTGTTCAGCCCTCGTGTGAGCAGGTACCGTGAAGGTGTTCGACGAAATGCCTCAGCGAGCAGCCGGGCTGTTTCCGGGGGTAGGTCGGTGGGTGTGGTCAACGAACGGATAAGCAACCGAGGGCCATCGGGCTTCCGACGGACTACCGAACCGATCAAGCAACACCAGGGCTGAGAGCAATAACAAGTCGAGCCGTCTCCGAGAGCTGAGAACTAGCCGAAGAAAACCGAGAGTGCCGAGAGCCATCCTCGACTGATCCTAGTCCCATTTTATTTTGTCGAGCCTTCCTTGAAGAGGTATAAGGCTGAACCTTTTAGCATCACCGAATTTATGTGTTATTACATGCCTTCTTTCAGTTTTGAATTGGGAGTTAAAAAGCATGATAGATTATCTAAAAGTTTGAAGCTTGAAACTGTAGTTTGAGCCTTGTTCTGTGCCCTGAATTGCCTCGTGTGGCTGAGCCATTTAAATGCCATTTATATGCTGAGGAAATGTGTTGAGTATCAAGGATTTATGCTCAGTCTTATTGCCTCCTGTATATTTTAAGAAATTGTTAAATTGTGTAGATAAAGAGAGCATATATGCCTTGCTTTATCTTGATTCTTGAGAGGCTATGTTCATGAGCTTTTGAACCTGTTTGAGTGATGTTTATGTTGCTGGAAATGTGTTTTTATCATAGGCTTATTTTCAGTTTCAAGGCTGGGATATTGATGCTTGAATTTAGTTAAAAGTTTATATGTGAGGTGCTTGAATATTGTGTTTTTGGTGCCCTGTTTGTTGTGTTTATTGAAGCTGCTGATTATGGCAAATTTTGTGCTGAGATGAATGTTGAAAAATCAGATTTTATGATCAGCCTTGAGATCTTCTTGTTGTGCTCAAATTTGTTTAGTTTTGAAATAAATTTTGAAGCATTTTGGCCTTGTATTTCGAAATTGTTGGTGGCCTTGTCATGGCTGCTACGTATTGGTGTTAGTTCTTGCTGTGACGGCTGAGTTTAACGTGTTTAAAAGGTTCAGTGAAGAAATAAGAAAGATTCGAGTATGGCCATGTATGCAATTGTTTGTTTTCTGGTTTCCTGTCATTATCATTTCCGCCTTAGGCTAAATTGTCCAAGTAACTTGCATTGTGGCATTAATTATAATGTTCTCTCAGAATTTAAAATGTGATGCTTTTAGTTGATATATGTTTGAAACCTGGTTGTTCTACACATGATGGATGGATTTGTGTGATGAAACTGAAGGTTTGAGATAAAGCTAAATGTTTGATTAAATGGGCAGTTCTATATAGGCAATTGCCAACAATTTGATCTTATTAATTCTAGCAAATCGATTCACTCTTGAATTGTTTTTAAAACTCCTTGAGCATTATTATTTTTGAGGAAATGATTGTTGGTCTTGTTGCTTTGAATGGTTAATATTACTGAACGTTTGACATGTTAACCTTATGCTGCAAGATTTAGTTTATTTTCAGCCAAGTCCCATTTATAAGCATGCTTAGAGTTGGTAGAATTATATGCTTTTATCTGCCTTAATTTTCTGTCTTATGTGTGTTATTAATTGTTTGTGTTTAATTGCAAGGTTTAATCAACCTCAAACAAGACCCTTATTAATAATAATAATTAAACCCTAATTTGTAGATTAAGAGGAGTCGAGCCCTCGCTCTTGTTTGCTCGTGCATTCACCTATCATCCTCTGCAGAGTATCAGGTGGGTCTTGATAAACTTACCATGTATGTTAATTTCTATAAATGCCTGGCTTGATGATGTAAGTATGCATGTGAACCGGTATTCTATGAGGCCTAACTCTAGCCTTTAGAGAGCTTAGTCCATGTGCCGGATGCTCCCGTCATGTGTCGATGGCTCCATGTTCGCAAAAATATTTTCACTACACGCAAGTGTATGATGTAGTTATAGTAAGCGTCGAGCAAGGTCGTATTCCAGAGATTGTTGTTAAAATAATTAAGTATCAAAATGTAGACGATTAAATATTATTTAGACTAGTGTAAATTTGAATGATAATTTTATTCTAAACTAACGAATGATTGAAAATAAATTCTAACACTAATGAAGACTTGTTCTAAGATAAATCAAGAATGAGAAAATAGATTCTAGGCTAAGCTTTCTTCGGGATTATTCTAGCAAAGATTTCTTATTCATTCAAACCTTATTTAATTCTACCAATTGTATGGATAATCACTAGATTAATTTACACATTTCTCTCGAACAAGTTAAATCGTAGATATTAATTGTTATCTATCTCCTCTCGGTCTCAAGATGAACAACTAACTCCCATTAACTCCTAAGATTCTAGTTCCCTCGCAAGATTCTATCAACCTCTCGGCCTGTTTAGTCTCTTACGTTATGAATTTTTCAATTTTAGCAACCAACTATCTCTTCTCGGTCTCAAGTCAATCACAAATATACACAAATACGGGCCCTATATTCACATAATTCATATAAGCACAAGAAATTGATAAACGAACAATAAATCGGAATGAATAAATACAATCACTTCATAAAATAATCCGAGTACTCACAAATCCTAGAATCCCTAAAAGGTTTAGCTACTAAACATATTCTCAAAACTCAAAATAATTAAATCCACGAGTTCAATGAAGAAGAAAAAGAGAAAAGAAAGAAGAACTGTAGTCGCCGTTAGTTCCCGAATCTTTAATCTTGACTTCCTCGAATTCCTCGTGCGTTTCGTGCTTTCTCTAGGCCTCCAAAGGTGTCCAAAAGTCCCATAATCGAGTTCTTCAGGTCTCTTTTATACTGTAGGCCGAATATGGGTTGAAAAAGGGAAGAAATTGCATAAGAATCCTACTTCTGGCTGATCTGATCTTTTCGTCACACGAGTCGTGTCACATGCCACACGAGTTGTGTGACATTTTCTCCAAAAAATACCAACTCCCAGACTCACATGACCGGGTCACACGAGTCGTGTGACGCCACACGACCCGTGTGAAAAAGCCGTTGCCACAACTCTTGTTTTCCCAATCCACACGACTCGTGTCAATACCCACATGAGTCGTGCGGCCTCGATTGCACCCCATTTTCGCAGTTTTTTGTTCCGATTCCATTTTTAACGCTTTTCCGGACATATTTCCTGCAAAACCAACGACAAAAATACTTCTATCAAAGATTAATATATAAAATAAAATGGTGCAATATCAAACGATAAGAGGTATTTTGGTTTGGGAATGAGAATATATCACTCATAATGCATTCATGAATGCATGAAAATATGATGAATGTCAACTCTCCAAACCAAAAATGGTGCAATATCAAAATGGTGCAAAATAAAAATACCTCCACTACTTCTCTCTAATCAACATAAAGTGTTTCTCATTCTCAAACCAAAATAATCCGTACACAACCCATAAATGCTCAAATCAAACTGCAAAGGAAGTACTTGATCGTTTTTTTTTCTCTTTTTTTTTTTCGTTTATTTATTTATTTTTTTAGAGAGTTCAATTTTTTTTTTTTTCCAAACAAGGTCAAACTGCAAGAACAATATTCTTTAGGTATAAGCATTGAAGGTCATCCAATTGTCCTAGAGTGGTTTCCCATTACTCATTACCCGTCAAAATAAATCAACTAGTAAAAGGAGTAGAATCCCGACAATTCAACTTGCGAGTTCTCTTTATTATCATTTTCTTCTCTATTTTTCTTCTTTTGTTTTTCGGTCAAACATCGTAAATGCAACTCAATTACACCTCATTCCATACCCAATCATCCAATAAATAACTCCGTTATCCCCACATATCCCAAACGATAGTCAACTCTCTAAATAAATAAGATAAACTGGTCGACAAGAAAAAAGATAAACTGGTCGACAAGAAAAAGACTTAAGGCTCAAACGGGCTACTAGTGAAAAATATTTTTAAGGACAAAGAACAAGGCCAAACGAGCTAAATTCAAAAACCGCTTGAATCTTTTTCAAAGCTCATAATCACTAATGCATTTTTTTAAGTTTAGAATCAAGGCAAATTTTAATAACTCGGGTACTCAATTGACACTTACATACAAAGAATAAAGGCTCAAATCTCACTAGGCTCAATATATCGTTAATCTAAGGCTCACAAGCATTTTCATCTAGGCATGACTTTTACAAACCCCATCACAATTCCTCAGTCACATCAAATCACAATTCACCATTCAAGTTATACATACCATCATCAACCCAAAAGCCCAAAATACACAAGGAACTTACTCATGATAAATCCTACTCCTAAAAAGCAAATAAATGTGCTCTACTCAATAAATACATTGAAAGAAAAATAAACTAACGCAACCTACATGAAATGCAAGATAGATTGGGATAATAACCTAAAATATGCCGCACCCCTCCTCCACACTTATTCTTTCGAGAAAGAACAAATTTGAAAGAAAAAGTGGTATATCTTAGGAACCAACTTCCTGATAATCACGGATGAGGAGGGGAAAATTCCCCTTATGTCTTTGCATTCACTCAAATAGCTGCTCGAAACCGCTGTTCATCCTCTCCTCTAGCCGGGCTGCAGACGCACGGTTCTCATCCCGCATAATCCCTAAGTCTGTCCTAAGCTCTCGCATCTATCTCTCTAGCATCATCATCCGCTCATCCATGTCCGGCACTCGACGTCGACGCCTCTTCCTATACCGCTGCTCAGATGCTCGTGAGGACTCCGATCTGTCCTCACCTACCGGCTGCTCGGGTACTTCGCCATCACCCTCGTACCTCACAAGGGCTCCCACATCATCCCCCTCAAAGGCGGCTATCTCATCCTCCTCCTCATTCTCGGCTACCCGGTCATAAATATTCGGCCGCGAGGCGAGTTTCCGAAGAGCCCCCACCAACCGTCTCTCTGCTACAGCTCGCTGATGCTCATCGGTGTCCATCTGCCAATTATTCTGCCGGTGGACTCCTGTCAAATGGGGAATGGTACAAGAAAGTTGTCGCCCAACTTCTGTAAGAAGAACATGTTGTCATTCATATGGGTCTTCAAATAGCCCATGTAGAACATGTTGTCATTCATATGGGTCTTCAAATAGCCCATGTTCACTAGAGCCAACAAATTCAGCAAGTTCCCTCTCGGGACTTTCTCCCAATCTATGTGGCAAATCCCTAGATGGTTGGTAATCATAGTCACGACTCCACCACACCGGATCACATCCGTGTCTGCCCGGCTCACGCAGAGCAGATGGTCGCCTACAACACGTCCAATCTCAGGTCTCTTCTGCGTCATCAGACACCAAAGGATAAGGATAAACACCTCGGCCTTCATGTC